AGAGAGCTGACATCAGAATAGAATAGGCAGGATTAGATCCTGCATGATTTCAAGTACAAATAGAACCCTCTGGGACTTTGGGGATTAATATTTTTTCTCCACAGCCACTGTGAAGAATTAATGAGGGTACCTGCAACAATGCTTGCAAGCTGCTGAGTTCTGGTGATGGGGTATATGCTGCGTGCCTGAACAATGGCTGAAGCGATTTTGTTGGCGTGCCTCTCCTCCCCGTATGTTCTCAGGATGGACGCAAGTGCCTGTTGATCTAAAGCGTTCACAACATCGGCAGCAGTGGGCATGTCAGGGTACCTACGCACAAGAAGAGCCAATTAGTTCACTGACGTCAGTTTTCATTGACAAGAGGTAAAGCTTCATAGCATTGGGATATAAAGTCAAACACACACACTGCATACAAGTGCCTTTGAGGTTTTCAAATAAGAGAAGCAACCCTATGAAAACAGATACAGCTTGCACCTTTTAAATCCTTTTACTTGCTGCTTTAAATGGAGTTTGTTCCTTAACATCAATTAGAACTTCCACCTATTATCAGGTTCTATGCTTAATGGGTTAGTTGACAAGAACAAATACATTTCAGTGTCATGTTAAAATAGAAATGCTGTCTGACTTTTTATTTAGCCAGCTTTAGAATATAAACTTGTCCCTTATGGGTTCATTTTAACCACCTTGCACTACAGGCTGTTTTCTAGGCAGAACCGATTTCACGGACCTCTCCTTTCACATCTCCTGCTATGAAAACAATTGTTTATGAAAATAATTTAACTTTACTTTTCACTAAAAGGCATAAGAATTTATATGCAAATACTGCTTTGAGACAATAGAAATGACCTAATACTACAAATGACAGGAATTAATACCATGTAAGCAGTATAAGCCACGCATTTATTTTTTTTTAATCTCTGTCACTTTGCTATTGAAATAGTTCAAGGTATTTTATGAACATCACATATGGGTTCACCACTGGGAGAAAACATACGACCCACTTAAATCCTCTTCTACAAAGAGATGAACGTGCAGAATATTTGTCAGGCATTTATTACTCTCCTGCAGTATCTTACAAAAGATAACAAAACTTAGAAATCAGAGGCAAGTAGTATCATAGCAACAACCGTAGTGTAAGGCTTCTGTTATGCCACAGGTAGCCTTTGTTCTTATCCTCCTCTTCCATGTATGTATTCTCATGATGCAAATATAAGCCCAGAGTTCAGATTCTTGAAATCTGAGGGCTGAATCCCAGGAGAATCACATGAGCTTTTTACACAAAACCAGAAAAAATGAGTATCATGAAATTTGTTGTGTTAAGACTTAACATTCATGGGTTAAGATAATTCCTTAGAAACTGAGGCTTCCCATCAGCTCTATGTCAGCAATGAAAGATCAAATGACGTTTCCTAAGACTACAGGTTCACCAAAACACAAAGTAAAAATTTTCATTCTCCCAGTAATGCATTATGCAATTACAGCCGTCATTTACACAACAGAGATTTTTGGTTGTTCATGTAAAAAGCACGATGCTACAGAAATCTATTTTGTTTTCTGAAGATGAAAACTGCTACATAAGTAGAAATTATTATTCTACCATTGATTTTCATGCTCTCGGATGTACTAAACACCAATTTAATAATTTAAATAGAGGTGATTTATTTTGTAATTGTTATTCTGACAATTAAATAAGCCTGATGTGCCTCCTACACAATGTGAAAGGAAGCTTACAATAAATCCATGGGCATGGAAGACAACGTTATACTAGGGCGTTAAAAGCAATATTGCTACCTGATTTCAACTAGCAAATATCATGGATGGGATTTTATTTATTTTACGTTACTTTTAGAGAGAAGTAACTGGGTCAGATGGCCATTTTAGAAAAGAGGGAAGAGGCTTCTTCTTTCCTGAGGGAGCAACTGAACGTGCTCAAGTGAAGGTTCCACAAACATTACGTGTAGCAGAAAAGGCAAGGGACTGCAGGAAGGGGTTGTGAGCCTGCAGATCAAGTAGAGCCTGAGAAACGGTGGAAATAATGGGGACAAGACAGGCCTCTGAAACCGAGATGTCCCTGTGACTGCATACCATACACTCCAAAAAAGTAAAATTTTAATAGTATAGTTAACAAAAATATTACAAGTCTAATTACGCATCACTAGAACTTTCCTCTTATTTCAAAAAAGGAAAAGATGATAACCAGAGTTCTAAGCACTGAGATAAAAAAAAAAAAAAAAAGGTTTGTGGCAAAAGGAAGACAGTATATTGGTGCAAAATTAGATGTGGTTTGATGATGATAATTCTTCAGTTTAAGAGAAAATGAAAGGCCTAGGGGCTGCTGAGCACACAGTTTTTAAGTTTAAAGGAGAAATATTTTATTAACAGGTACCTGTCACTATCCATCCTCATGTCCAAAGGTCCATCCTTCTTCAGGGAAAAGCCTCTTTCAGGTGTATCAAATTGCATCGAAGAACAGCCAGCATCCAAGAGAACTCCATCTAAAGTCCCTGGCTCAACTCCAGAGGAGATTAACAAAGCCTCTGCCTGGCTAAACTGTCCTAGAAGAGCTCGAATCTGTTTCCTATAAGAAAATAACAAATAAATAGCTTCAATTTTAATTATAACAGTGCAGTGTCTTCGCCTTGTATAGCAGCAATTAGATAGTAGCACTTTGTCTCAGAAGCAATCCAGCTATTCCCAAAGTAATAGTTTAAGTACTTTTCATTGTCAAGCTTGCAAACTGGTCCAACCCACCCAGCAGCAGCTACTTAAGCTTCTTTAACTCTTTACTCCCTCCCTGCTTGAGCTCAAAGAAATGGAAACCTGACTAAAAATTCATTTTTTCAACATGGAGGAACTCAAAAGCACACATCCAGCCCTGACCACCTAGGTACCTGGTGTGGTGAGCAGGGACTTGAGTCGAGTGACACCAAGGTGCAGAAAAGAACAATTCTTGGACTTAGAGAGGCAGACAAGATGGAACACAAGTGCACAGCCTTGTGCTTTAGACCTACTTGGGCTCCTGCCATGGGACAAACACCTTTCTTTTTAGTGGTATTTGCTGTTTCAAAAATAATTGCGCAAATGAGGCACACTGGATCGTAAGCAGATAAAATACTTCAGTGTAGTTTTGATTCAGGCACCTAATCACTGGAGAGAGTAGAGTTCTACAGCATTTTTGTGCTTAACACTCTTCTTTCTCAGATTTAAGGTGGTTCTTGCTTAATATTCCCACACCAGGAAGGGAAAGTGGCGTTGCAAGGGAGAAGATGACACACCTTTGAAGTGCCTAGCTCTTTCTTGGCTATCTAAACCTGGATTTCTGATTCTTGTTTGTATATAAAGTGACCTACAATTTATCTGCCAAAATCTCAGTGAATTTCACAAAGATTTAACAAGACTAACCAACGTGCTGCTGCATTTTTAAGCGTAGCTGCAAATCACAATATATTTCTGCCCCTACCACGAAGCCACTGCCTCCACCTCTGAGTTTTGATTAGGGTTTGGATAACTCCACCACGGATTAGCATTCGAATTATGACAAGGTCCACCCGTTAACTCACATGACTGGGTCTAATTTACAGGGGCAGTGGTAAATGGATATAGAGAGCAACTCCTTCGACAGTTCCAGTTACAAAAGGACAGCTGCCATGTATCTTTTGACACTTCAGCATTAGAGTAATTCGGAAAAAAACCCCAAACTTTTTCAAAGTATCAGCTTAAATATAATCCTTCTTTCAGGTCAGCTTAACATCAAGACCACTGGCACTATGACATCATTTAGTCAACAACAGTGGCTACAGTTTTAAAATAGCACATGAACAGGAAATCAGAATCTTTTCTCTACCCATCCAATTGGAGTTAGAAAATGCTACTAAGGTGGGGGGGGGGGAGAAAACACAACCATATGGAAGAATATTTAGCCACACAGTGGTATCCTCATTAGAGCAGAATGAATCAACCTATTTAACATGGCACAGAAACCAGGAAATACCTTGAACGAACAGATTTCACAAGGGATACCATGATCGCACATTCACATTTCTGAATTGATTACTGTACAGCACATAATTAAATACAACTGTTCAGCTTAATAAGAACTGACAGTTCCTGAAAAGCGCAACGATCCACTTAACATATTTAAATCAATTTAAGCTATATAGTTATAGCTTTGAGACTGTATTTCCCCTCAATATAATGGGGGGAATGTTCTTGAAAATCTGTACCACTGGGCAGCATTTCTAACCTCAAAACTTGTGCAAAAGAATTAACTTTAAAATTCTGTTATGAGGGAGATGAAAATGAATGAGATCTGGAAAAAATAATAAATTGTCATTGTCTAGTTCCCCCAGCAGACAGTACTCCATGCCAGCAGCTATGAACTAGTGCTGTGCTACCAACCAGTCTGAAAAATTATTCTGAACTATATTTAGAACTTGCTAGAAATTTGATTAAGTTTCTTCAAACAAGTCATAAGCATGTGGATGGCTAAGATGTTTGGGACAGTGACCATTGATTTGTGGTCTGCCAACCCTTTGTGATTAAGCAAAGGAAATTAAAAAATAAGTATATTTGAACTAAGTTGAAACTTTGGTAGAGATGTTTCAGCTGGAAAATGTTTTGGAGTTTACAAATAAGAAGAGATTGAAAAATAATTAGATTGACATTTTGATGTCAGCCTTTCAGTTGTGTGAAATTATAGCTTCTGTATATACCCTGTTTGTTATACACTGCATTTTGTGTATCAGCAGTGGATATAGGTGTCTTGGTAAATATAAATCTTGACTAAAACAGATGCTTCTCATGAGATTATTATGACTATATTAAAACGTTCAGGCCAGTTCTCCGAATCCCTGTTTCTTTGTAGCCTAGAAGAAAGAATTTTAAGCATCTCGAGTGTCTCATACATTTCAATTAATCAAATGAAGTGCACAGCTATGAAAGATTTATTACCTTATGAAAGGAAATACAAATATCAACTCTTTTTTCAATTGGATAGGAACAATGATGATAGCAATGACAAGGACTAATCTATTAGATTATAAGCATGACACATTTAAAGAAAAAATATTTTACCAAGCATTCAGAAGCATTTATTAGAACATCATAGAACTCCTGTCTACTATTATTTATGCCTAAGTTCAAATAATAAGTGCCTTTTACACACATGATTTTCTCTAAAAATGCTTAATTTACCCTCAGTTCCTTCTGCCTTGAGACTTGTGTAAATCTGTAAATCCTGTTTCCGGAATAACCTCAAATAAATAGTAAAAAACCGTGTACCCTATGCTAAAAATGTGTATTTCCTACACTCACACGCCTTCTGCTCTCCCCAGGGATGGCAAAATTCTTTATGCTTTCTTTTTCAGCGCATTAGAGGATTTATGTTCCATAACCATACTTAACCAGTGTGAAATCTGTCTATTACCCTTTCTGTCTTAATATATTGCAAAAACGGTGCTTAGTGGGAAAAGCAGGAAAGATAAACCAGGAAACTTCCCTAAAAACCAAATAAACCAGACAAATTATGGTTCAAAAAAGCCTGACAAGACAGAGCATATGAAAACATTACAGACCAAGACTGAATGGGGGTTTTAAGTGGTTTGTCAGAAGCAAGAAGAGACTTACACAGTAATTTCCACAGCCAATGGAACCACGCTGCCCCATCAGATCCAGTACGTATATATTACACTCATCAATGAATCTGCCTGTGATTTCAGCTCTCCTAAGAACTACTATTACTTTAACAATTACTGCAAGAAGTTTTGATGGTCTTCTACCACCCTATTGACAGTTTGCATGATCGCTTTTTAAGGGTGAGTGTTCATCTCATTATTCAAGGTCTATCTCTAAGATTATTTTTCACTGTAAGAAAAGGTAGTAAAGCAACTTTCCTTAGAGTTGATACATCTTATGCATTATTTCCTTATTCTTGTCATACTAGCATCTTAGAAGATATTTTTATAAAAAACTCCTCTCCATTCCCCAACAACCCATATATAAATTCATATTTTCATTAAAGACACAATGGTGCTTCACTGAACTCAAAAGACATGCTGCTACTGGCCTTAGAAGGAAGAAAGGTTCTGTTTAAATCAGTTGCCAAAACTCTGTAGAATACAGAAAGAAAATCTTTATATACTTGAGCAATTTGGAAAGTACAAATCGGCATCAGAAACACAACAGGTGTATATAAACATTTGTCAGCCCATCAATATAAAAATACTAGAATCTGTAGCAAAAATCACTACAGATACATTTTTTCCACTTGCAGGGAATGAACACATCATGTCAACTTTTCCCCCAGTGTTAACGCCCAGTCTCAGAGGAATCAGAAATTGTATTCAAGGCTTCAGACTGGGGACGAGGCACACACACAGATGTATCATTCAATCAGCTTTACTGATCAATTACTGACCAGTTGTGGTCAGCTATGTATACCGACCAATGCACGATATACGAAACATTACGGTTTCAAAAGACAAGAACTTGTATGTCCTGTATGTTAAATGAACAAAAAAAAAGTGTACTGTCTCTACTAACTGCTTTCCCTCCCTGCAACATTTGGTTTGTGCTGCCTAAATTATGTTTCTACCCAATTTACCTAAATCAGTAATGAACTATTATCTGCATAATATGGATATTAATGAAGGAATTTTTACACATAACAATCTCAGATCAAGTAAATTATTTTTCTAGCAAAGAACGTTAAATTATAACAGTGTCTAGTGCTTTCTGATCTAAACTCAATTTCAGAGACACAGAGTAATCTGTTCATAAAGAAAGGATTATGAAGAAAGTGCAAAATAATCTTGTAGTCAGTTTTCAAGCTTAGAATACAGCTATCCAGCTTCCAAGGGTATTCATTCATTAGCTGAATAAAAGGTTTTATTGATGTATTTATCTGCATATAAAACACAAAGTTGAAGTTAAGAGAACACACACTGACTATCTAAAAAGCAACATGCAATGAACTGTCAAAAGGCTACTCCTACCTACAACCCACATCTTCAATTGTTTTTAAATGACTCTTATTACAGTTTGATTTAAATTTTGTAAGAGTGTTGTAAAACAGACATACAGCATGTAAAAAAAGCATCTCATTTTCCTCCCTGCAGAATCGAATAATAAATGAAACTATTGTTAATTTTCTTTAGCTGACAAAGCAAAGTCACACAATACTTTTCCACATCACAACCTCTGGCACTATAAAGTGCTCTATTCATGGAGAGAGCTTGCTCCAGATTGGGTGTAATTGTTGCTTTGACAGACCTGCTGCCACTGATACTTGGAATATATTTGCATAACCTTTGCCTTGTTAACAAAATATGAGCCTAGACCTTGAGACTCAGTGGCAACACTATGAGATAATAAATGGAAAAGCAATCTGAGCCACAGAAGCTTTTTTTCTTTTCTTAATTATTCAGCAGTTGACAGTATTGGAGTGGCCTGATAAAGCCCTACAGGATTTTTATTTCCTTTGACAAACTATTTCTTTGTTTGACACGATAGTTAAACCCCAGAACACTAAGGATGAATACACCTGGCTCAACAATTTATTACAAATAAAACAAGTAACATTTTCCTCCCTCCTGTCATTCTTATCTAAGCTATCTCATAGAAGAGCATGACTACATTCCTAATTGACTCCCACCTTAAGCATTAAACTGTCTGCCCATCACTTGGACAGCGTCACCACTATATACTCCTGATCGTGGGAAGGAGAAATACGAGAAACAGAACACAAGAGGAATGCAAATAAGGGTAGAAGTGAAGTAAGGGCATCACATGGCTGGAAGTTACAGAGAAGAGGCTTCTATCTTCACTTTTACCAGGTCTTAGCCTTTTTGAGACAAGGGAAAAAGAACCATGCACAAAATTAAAAATACAGTAATATAATGTATTTAAATTACAGGCTAACATTTACTATTCGTTCTCTACTCCTTCCCTGGTAGTTTTAGTGTGCTCTTCTAACCACCACTGAACACCAAGTATTAAGTTTTCATAGAACTATGCGTTATAAACCCAGTATTCCGGTACTGACTGGTCAGCACATAGCCCATCACTACATAAGTAAACCCAAGACAAGTCACTTTATGTTTAACTACATGTCTTTTCACCTGCCTGTCTTGTAAGGTTTTGCAGTTCTTCAGAACAAGTCTTCACTTTTGCCATATTAACAATCATCGGCAACTACGCCACCAATTTACTGTCTTATTTAGATCATCTACGAATAAACAGGTTGTGTACCCTACCCGCATATCCTTGTGGTACTTCACCAGTGAGCTCATGGCTTTGAAATGAGACAAATGTGACCCTTATAGCTAGGCAAAAAAACCTACAACAGAAGACGACTTTGCTTCTACTACACATTCTTTACACAAAATGGTTACATTACCTTGTTAAATCACACTTAGTACTTCTAAATTTACAAACTCTGAAAATTTGTTCCAAATTACAAAGCACTTCAAATAAAAAATAAATCTATATTTGCTTCTTATAACATTGCAATTCATTCTTGGGGAGAAAATCATCTTAATAAAGATCACAAGGTTTATATGCTTATTTAAAAGGAAGTGCTTTACTAGTTCATCAGATCAAAACCATAAGAAAGTCAGCATTTTCCAACATTTTCAAATGTATCTGAAAAGTTAGGTACACCCCCTAAGATAACAGACTTTTAATAACACTGCTAAGCATTAAATTCTAAAAAACTACTCAAAATACACAAAATAATGGAATATTAACCTCCCTAAGAACACTTCTGATTTAAAATGCCATTTTAAAACACAATTTGGCAGCAATTCACTTTCCCTGCGACCTTGACTTTTCTTCTAATTTAAAAATTTCAATTTCAGAATGCAATCATAAAAAGGGAAACAAAATCCTAGGATGTACAAGTCAGAAGTCTTTTCATTAGGAAAAGTATTAATGGCAAGACTTCATCCAGAGTATTGTATGCCATTACGGGAGCCTTACCTAAAAGGGAGGAACTCAAAGTGGAACTGGCAGAGAAGCTCTAATAG